GCTGTTGTGAATCAGCTGCAGGAAATGCAGGGAAGGATCACTGCAGTACACTCTTCATTCTCTGGGCTCTGGGCTTGCTTTCTATCACTATGATACAGACCATGGCCAAGAACAGCTGGGGGAGGAGAAGGCTTGTTTACTTACATGTCTGGATCACAGTCCATCATGGAGAGAAAGCAGAGCTGGAGCTCAAGGAGGGCAGGAATCTGGAGGCAGGAACTGAGACAGAGATCCTGGAGGAGTGCTGCTTACTGGCTTGCTCCCCATGGCTTGTTCAGTCTGCTCTCTTTCACTACCCAGGAGTGATGCCACCCACCATACACTAGACCTTCCTGCATCAAGAAAATGTCCCCCAGACTTGCATCAGGCCATCCTGATGGAGGCTTCTTCTCGATTGATGTTCTTTCTTTCTGCATACCCCTAGGTGGTGTCAAGTTCACAAAAAGCTCACCAACACAGGCTTTATCCCCAAGTGTAGCTGCTGAATTATGTGGCAGTTCTATGCTTTTCTGAGGAACGTCCATACTGTTTCCCACAATGTCTAATTTACATTCCAACCCACAGTGTGTGAGACTTCCACTGTCCCACATGCACATCTACAGTTGTTATATTTTGTCTTTTTGGTAATATCCATTCTGACTGGGAGATGATGACGGCTCTCTGTGATTCTGATTTGCATCCATTTCCCTGACAATTAGTGAAATAGAGCATTTCTCCATATATTTATTGAAAATTTGTATCTCCCTTAAAAACTGTGTGCTCAGTTCATCTGCTCATGTGTGTGTGTGTGTGTGTGTGTGTGTGTGTGTGTGTGTGAGCAAGTGTGCATGCACACTTTATTTTATTTTATTTTTGACCCAGAATCTTACTATGTAGCTCCAGATGGCCTTCCAATCTTTTTGTAAACCAGGCTGGCCTTGAACTCACAGAGATCTGACTGCCTCTGCCTCCTGAGTGCTGGCATTAAAGCATGCACCACCATGCCCTACTCCCACCTTTATGTTTTGAGACAGGGTTCCACACTGACACTGAGGCTGGCTTGGATAGCCAAGGCTCTCAGCATCTCCTGTGTCTACTGCCCACCTCTGTGCTGGGTTCCAGGGACACACCAGCACTCCTGACATTTACATGGTTGCTGGGAACACACACTCAGGTCTTCATGCTTAGGCTAACACAGCAGGTGTCTCGCTGACTAAACCTTCAGCACAGTGCCTCAGTAGATCATTTTCTAATGGATTATGATTGCTGGTGGACTCTTGAGTTGAATTCTTGCTC